ATGAAGGGGCGCTACGGCAAGGAGTCCTCCTGCGCGCGGTGGGCACCCTTGGCGACGATCGGATTCATCGTGAGGTTGTTCATCGATGCCGCGATCTTGCAGTCGTTTTTTTCAACGAGAACGGTCGCGTCGCCTTTGCCGCCCCGCCACGGCCCGGCGGCCCCCAGGCCGCGAACTTCTGGGAGTGAAAATCAGCAGCGATTCGTTGAAGCCGGGCGGCACAGGCAAGCCCTCCACCACGCCGACGGCGACGCTCAGAAGGACCTGCGCCGCCGAGGGAGCGCGCTTCCACGCAATGTAAGGACCGCCATGATCAGGCGCCCCATCTCGCCCAGGGTGCGCATCTCCATTTCTTCGCGCTTGCACGGGGTCGCGCGTCTCAGCAGGCATCGGCGAACGAATTCAGACAGGCTCGGTTCGGCTTGAAAAAACTAGGGGCCATTGGCGTCTGAGTTCGGCGATCGTCTCGTCGGTGGCGGTCGCGGTGTCACGTTGCACCTCGATGGCCTTCTGCTTCGGAGCATTGCCCGTCGGTGCCCAGAGCTTGCCGCACTTTTGGATTACCCGATGCACCCGGCGGAACCTCGCGCGAACAGCGCGCGAAGCATCTCTGGCGGAAGCTTCAGCATAAACGGCCTCCTCCCGCTGGTCCTGACACTCCTTCTGGCGGGCCCCGAGCTTCCTTCGGAAGGCGATCGCGTCGGCGATGATGAGATTCAGCTTGCCGGCGGTGTCCAGGGACTCTGCCCGAAGGGTCTTCCTCGCGCGCAGCGCCTTGACCGCCTTCCGATGATTGCGCCAACCCGCTCTCGAGATGGCTGTACGCGCAGCGATCGCAGCCCCGGCACCGGGGACTTTCGCGCGGGCCAGGTCAGCGCGAGCAAGACGAGCAGCTTCACGCTGAAGGCGCTTGATCTCAGGAAGCTGGACGCAGGGCGGGAAGACCTCCCAGCTGGAACTCCGAAGGGGCACGCCGAGATAATGGTCGAATAGCGGGTGCTCACTGATGCACCGCGGGACGGGCCGGGCGTTCCTGTCTCCCTCGGGACGGCGGGCAGCCAATCGAAAGTGAACAGGGGCGCGGTCCGAGACGCCACGGTCGAACAGCTCCTCAGGCGCCAGCGGGGCGCCCGCTTTCGCGCACTGTTGAATGGGCATCCACGGCGGGGTGCCGATGAAGATCTTGCCCGTCCTGGCGCGCTGCTGGGTCTGCTCCGCGCGACGGGTCGGGACCTCGGGGCCGACCTCTGCCATCAGCTCGAGGGCTGCCTGCCAAGTGTTCTGACGCTCGCGGCTGCGGCTCCGCAGTCGAGGAAGCTCTCTGTTCGCTGGCGGGGTCTGCATCTCCAGCGGTGCCTCGCCCGTGAAGATGGAGCCGCCCACGAACTGGATAGTGATGCGTTCTGGCGGGGCATCCGCGAGGTTGCGCTCCGGGCGGAGCGACTCCGCCGACTTCTGAACCTGCTCGGAGGCGAGCTTATCGTTGCGGATGTCGTAGACCACCGCCACGTTCATCGAGGGACGGGGCAGCCCCTCAGCGTCGGATCGGTCGGCGCCAGAGCCGGCGGGAGCCTTGATCAGGAGTCGCTGCGCGTGACCAGGAACCAGCTCAGCGCGACGGAAAAGGGCAGAGCCCCGCGCCACTGAAGGGGAAAGGCTAGGAAGCAGAGGAGCCACACCACCAGCCCCGCGCCAAAGGACGGATGAGGAGACAGCCGAACGTTGGCGAGCCAGGGGGCATGAACAAGCCCCGCACGTGGACCATGCACCTCTTGAAGAGCCAGAACCGTCGAGCACATCAGCGCGCTGATCAGGCAATGCAGGTCCCCCGTGTGCTGGAAACACTTGTTGCATCGGATTCCGCATTCCATAGCTAGACTGCGCTGGAAAATCCTCGCATTCCAAGTGGCAAGAGCAATGCCAGCTCGGTTCTCGCCTGTTCGCCACGGGGCCAACATCTGGTTAAATCTGCCACTGACGTCCTGAGTGTCCAATATCGTCTGGGATAATTCGAATAGCTACCTGATGGTTTCGCAGTGGATGCCGCAGGTGGAGAAGCCGTCGTAGTCGAAGACAAGCTTGGCGGAGGAATCTCGGTCGCGCCAACCACGATGGATAGGATGGGAAGGTTCCTACACCTGACGACGCCCTATTGCCGATCACCACGCCGGCGCTTGTCGGGAGCACGTTCACGACAGATCTAAGACAATTTCTTTGTCTGGTACCCACATCTGGCCGTCTTTGCCGAGCGATCGATTCCGAGGTAGAGCCTGGAGGTCTGGCCGTGCGCGTTGTTGACCTTAGCGTTGATCCAGGAGCCGTCGGGATTCTTGGGCTTGCTGTAGAAGGTGCGGACCTCGCGCACGGCTGCATTGGCGCCCCCGCTGAACTGGACGATGGATATCCTAGCAGGGCTCTTCCCACAGATCTCCCGCTGAGAATCATCGAACTCGCACTTGTCAAGGATAGGCTGGATGCTCTGACGAAAATACTCAGCGGTGAACTTATCCGAGGAGGTGCCGACAACGATGCTGGTGTCCACGGCGCGGTCCCATTCCAAAAGGTTCACGCAGTCCTTGATGGAAAGTTGTGCCTCTTGCAACTTCATGCTGACAAGTTTCTTCGACCTGCTTCCAGGGCTACTTGTTCGAATATGCCAGCTGTTGCGGCGCGACCTTGATGGAGCGGATGCCACCACTAAACTGACCATCGTGCCCAGCTCGATGCCCGACGAAGTCTGCTAATGGAGCCTTGAGCAATTTTCCGACACTGGCGATGGTCTCTGCTTTGATTGTGGCCAACTTGACGTCCAGTTGCTTCGTGAAGAACTCCTGGGAGGCGTGGACGGCGCCGCTGACCGCATGCATGTTGGGTCAGCGGCCTCAGAGTCGTTCGCTCGAGATGTCCGAGGGGTGGGGATGCCGTCCTGCGCTCGTGGTGTCCGAGGGGCCGGTGTGCCCTCATGCACTCTCGCCCGCTTGTGGATCCAGGGGTCGCCGCCAGGAAGCTGCATGGGATCCTGTCCATCATCGCCAGAATTGGCTAGAACTGGCAGAACATCTGCACTGCCGAGGGAAGTAGAGCCACAGCCAGCACCACCACCCAGGGGGCGAGCCGCCGCAGACGCCATCTGCCAGGAGAACGAGCACCCTGTTCCGACGGGGCTGCAGGAGTTGGGAGACAGGGGGTCTTGTATGGCAAAGCACGATGCGCCTGCGAGTGCGCGTGAGGAGTCGGTCTCTTAGTCTTAACGGGAGGGGCGGTGAACACAAGTCCCAGGGACTCGAGCTGCTGCCCAACCCCCGTCATCTTGAGCAAAAGTGTGAAGCAAACTCTAGGCCGCTGCCCCCCCCCCCCCAAGCCACCCGGAGTGCCATGCCATTTCTGCCGACCACCCTGTAGCAAAATCGTACCATCCTCCCAGACGTCGCAACATGGCTCCAAAACAGCTCAATTCGACCACCAGATGGCCAAACAGGGCCCCACGACACCGCTATTCGGCCGCACGATCGCCCAAGAGAGCAGCAAGAGAAGTCCAAGAGAGAACACGTGGGGACCCCAAGACGCTGACGCCTGCAGTGCAGCTCAAGACGCCCCAAGAGGGAGGCCCCACATAAGCCAGAGTTCATGTGTTTTGCTTAGCCTTGGCATGTTCATGATTTGATCACGCTCACACTTTTGGTGTTAATAGCACGCAGAACCGCCCAACAGGCCCCCAAGATCGCCCCAATACAATCCAAAAAGAAGGCCAAGAGCGGCTCAAGACGACACAAAAGGTGCCGAAGACGACCTAAGAGGGTCCCCAAAGGCCGCAACAGGGCCCACGAAAACCCCGAGTCAGCCCCATGGGGCCCCCCGGCAGCCCCAAGACGGCATCCAGAGACTCCAACGACGGCCGAGAGGACCGAACATGGCCCAAAAGGGCCCCAAAACCGCCCAACGGCCCCAAACAGAACCTAAAAGACTAAACATACAGCAGGACGGCGTCCATGATGGCCTAAGAGCCCACGACGAGGGTCAGACATCTCAGATCATCTCGAATACAATTGAAGGCGGTCAGTCTCTGCATACATACGCCAAAAAGCGCCTCAAGCGGACCCGCAGAGGCCCCAAAGACAGCCCACGACGGCCTTCTCGAGGCAGCCCCTCGACGGCCCAAGAACATCCATCCCAGCAACAACATGTTCTCGTTTCTCGCGCGCCACACCGTCTCCGCCAGATGTCCCTGCAACGAACTCGACAGAAGAACTGTTCTACGCCGGGCGAGGCGAGACCGCCAGGGCGCTGATGTCCTCCATACACATCTACGGCACTCTTTATAAACATTCGCTTGATGAGGGCCCCGAGGACGCCCAGAAGAGGCCCACAAGAGGCACCCCGCAGACCCCAAGAAGCCCCAACGAAGCTTCAAACAACTCGCACGAGCCCCCCCCCCCCCCCGAGGCCTCCGAGAGGCCCCCAAGAAGCCCTGGAACGACCTGACTTTTAACAAGCTCCGAATGTGCACCCAGCGGAACGAGAGGAACCCGCGTCCAGAAGCAACGTGAAGCCAGAGCCAGGTCGCGCAAGCGTTAGCCGAAGCACTAGGGCAATTTCTTCACTGATACCAATAAAAATGACGCACATCCAGTTGCCATCGATACTTCATATTAGTATGCCCCTTCCATCCTCCCACCAACGCCACGCAACATCCGTCGACCAAAACCTTAACGCCAACGCCTACCAAAAACGATGATTTCGGGAACTTGGGCCTCTGGAGGGTTCAAAAGGCCCCAAGACAGCTCAAGACGGCCTCCAGATGGCGCAAGATGGCTCCAAGACGGCCACGAAGGCCTCCAAGACGCCACAAGAGGGACTCCAGCAGACCAGCACGGCAGACCAGCATGGCAGACCCTGTCTTCACGTACCCTGGAGGCCACCAAGAGGCCACCACGAAGCCCCGCAACACCCAGATTTATAAGTTCCAAACGTGCAACCCGCGAAGCGAGAGGAATCAAAGCTGCAGACAGGATAGACTGGTCCAGGCCATGGATGTGAACGCCTTTAACGAGCACAGGAGACTGTTTCATTAGGGAGAAAGACGTTCCAAACAAAGGCTGTTCTAACGAGTCGCGTGTGAAGCACGCTGCAAGCGAAATACACGCCTTCACACTATCAGCCTGAGGGAAGCGCCTTGCAAGAAGCCACCTACGAGGCGCCGGAACAACGTTCTTGTGATGGTCTTTCGCATTTCCAAAAGTGCCACTTGGGGCAGACTGACCAGGTTGAGACGGCTGAGGTCCTTCTCGTAGAACGTCGAACTCACCCTTACACCACCGACCTGGGAAGCTGTGGAGTGCCAATTCCCGAATCTCGAACGAAACTCCGGGAAATGATGCATGGCTGACTTCTGTATCCGGAGACACCGTGGCCCCCATCCTGACGATTTCCACGGCTGTGCCCTCGGCATCTCGATGATAAATGCTGAAGCTCTGTACCTTCTGTGAGAAGAGCAGCCACTCCTGCCATTTTTTGACAATTCCATCCACAAGCAGTTCGAAGCGAGGCCCATCTGAACTGCTGAGAGGCATCCGGATCACCGTACCGCAGAATGCTCCAGAACACGCGTCAGCACCATCAGCCGCGATCGAGTACGGGGAGAACTGATGCGGCCAAAATTTGTCCAGAGTCGTGCCTGACGATGCTGCCTTCGTACGCAATTGAAGCACGCGCTCTTCAGTGCTATTACCTCTGATGCTGCTGAGCTGGCGGCCCAAGAAGCAGACGCGGTCTGCTGACAACACGGACGGCAGATCTGAATCCGCCACCATGCTCCCCGGTACGCTGGGGCGTGGAATGATTCCCAAACTGTCCAGTAGGTTTTGCAGCTTTCGAAGAACACACCGACCTGCATCCAGCTGCATGTACCCCCCCTCTCCCGAAGCTCCGTGAGCGCCAAGACGCCCTCAGACAGGCCGAGAGAGCCCCAAGGAGGGCCTAGGGGGTCCCCAAAAACGCCCTGCTGGGGCCTGAGGAAAGCACCCAGGCAGCCCAAGAAGGCCCAAACTTCCCCCCCTGACTCCCTGTCCCCCGTCCGCTCTTTCATCTTCTCCTCCTCCTCCTCCTCCTCCTCCTCCTCCTCCTCCTCCTCCTCCTTCTCCTCCGTAGCAATTTGGCTCAAGCCAGTATGTGCCCAGTTTCGTTGGCCATTTACGCCCCCTCGCTGAAGGCGGCGCCGCGATGGCGGGGCCAGCGCATGCGGCTTGAACGGCTGGACCTCTTGGTCTGCTGAAGTGTGGGGTCAATGATAGAATCAAGCAAAGTAGGGCTGCGGCTACAAAACAACGACAAGGACGTCGAGCAAATGAAGATTCCGTTCTCATACCAGCACCGCTCATCGGCGAAAGCTTTGGTGAGGCAATGGTCAATTCCGCGCGCGGTTTGGCCGCAGCAGGCGAGCTTCATGGCTTGGAGTTCCCCGTATTCCCTGAAGACCCAGCGCCTCAGTCTCTCAAATCGGACGGAGGTTTCGTGCATTCCAAGGTGGAGCACTTCGACATCTGCGAAGTAGATGGCTCCAGCTTGGAACTAAATGCGCAGTTAACGCAAGAGCAGAAAGAGCAGCAGGACAACACGGAGCTTGTGAGCTCTGTGGCCAAACAGGTCGGCGAGTTGGCCGTAAAGTATTTCTGAAGTGAAGGTTCTTGGCGGCGAACTCCGATACGGGCTCGCAGCTCTGAGAGGCTCCAGCAGTTGAGAGGATAATGCAGAAGAGCGTGCAGCTTAACATGCTGATCGATGGACTGTTCAACGAAACTGAGCAGCTGATTAAGCAGATGGACAGTACGGTGATTTACAAAGACGTTTCAAGTTCGGGAGACATAGACGTACCAGGGGATCCCCATGGTATCCTGGCATGCCCCGAGGCCCCCGCGGAGACGGGCAGGAACAAGGGCGAGGCCAAGAGCACGGACAAGGCAGAGGTAAGCAGCACCATCGCGGTGCATGCCAATGACGCCGCGGCCCAAGATGCGGCGAAGCTGGCCACCAAGCAAGAACGGAACCTCCAGAGTCGTTGGACGAGCGGCTCCACAAGGCCATGTCCACGACGCATCCCGAGGCCGCCGTGCAAGTCGCCAGGTTGGCAGTGGAGATGGCCCCCGAGAATTATCCAGAAGCGCTGTTGCTCACCTTGGAAGTCGAGGGACTGGTCCATCCCAGGATGAAGGAGCCTTCCACCTCCCTGCGCTGGGGCTCCTGGCCCACACGGGGAGCGCTTGAGAAGCCGACCGAGCAGGTGAGCTTCGCAGCAGCCGCGCGCGCGGCGGTTCCGGAGGTCAGTAGGGCGGAGCGGGGGTGTCCATCTACAGCACCACGGTGCGCCCTGCGTGCTTGCGGGTGCCCCTCCACCCCTTCACTGGCTCCTCTGTGGCGGGCGCTCGGAGAAAGGGGGCCCCACCGAACGCGGGGCTGCCCTAAGCGAGGAAAGGAACACGCGCCGCCCTTTCCATTCGCCCCGAGAGTTCCACTCTAAAACTTAGCCAAGGCGCCTCTGTCGCGCGCCGAAGAATTATCCTCCTCCTCCCCCTCCTCCTGATCCGTATCCTCTTTCTCCTCAGCATCCGTTCGCTCTAACCTAGCCCCTGCTAGCTTTCCTCCATCAATGTCGGCAGCGGCCGACCACAGCTTCAAAATAATACCAGTGGGGGGGTCGACGGATGTGCGTGTCACATGTTACGTCATTCCCTATTCGTGGCACATCGAATGGAGCGAACTGCCAGATGTTTCGGCCAAGTTGGATCTAAGGGACAGAAATGCCGCATGTTAGAGCTCTCTGGACGCGATGGGAAAGTGTACCGCACGTTGTGCACATATGGAGCCAAGAACAGAGAGATGGCACAGTTCGTGAGGCTATGGCGATTGATTCGGAAAACAGAGTCAACCGACTGTCTGATATTACAGACATCTGCTGGATCAAACAAGGATCGAGAAATCACATGTCACAGCCCTTTGGAGCCTGAGGATCACATGTCCTACCCCCTGGAGAAGCAACGTCTCTGTTTGACAGCACTTTTGGACAAGAGGGCATGAGGTGCCACGTGTTACGGGCCCTGTGCCCTGGTGAACTCACTATCGCACATATGGTTTCCTCAAAACTGGTGAAGCGACGTGTCACATGTTGCGGTCCCCAGGGGCGTTGGGCAGAGAGATTCGAACTACCAGGGGAAGGCAGATGTCAGATTGCACCGTACTCTTGAGCCTACGGATGGGAACTGTTACACATCACAGCCCAGATGTAATCGCACACTATAACCACCTTCCCGCTAAGGAAAGAAGCTAATACATGTCACGACCCTCTGGACACATTACGGCTGCTCTCTGGGCCCTATGGACGACAGCGATCAGTTGTTGCGACATTGTCGAATGCCTTGGCCATCTTCTGCGGTTCTCCGATGGTCGTCGCACGAGAGGATACGCTGACACGGTGGCGGAATGTGCCGCAGGCACTTGAATACCAGAACAATGGCGACCACTGTGGGCAGAACTGCACTAGAGATGTCCAATGGTCGCTGGACAATTTTCCATCGAAGAAAAAAGAAATGCTCCTGCCCTGGAACTGACCCATATCTTGTGATAATAAGCTGATCTTCGCGTGCACCTGCTCGTCCCAGACCATCCGGACGAACGTTGCCTCTGCTTCCTCGGCAATGCTCAAAACCATTTCGACGACCAAATCGAAGTCTGACCCACTGGGCTTCGAACTGCTTCGCAAGCGGCGGAAACTCTCGTCGCTCTGGCGCGCGGAAACATCTGTCGGAATCTTCAGAGCATCCAGCAACCTGGCGGACCCGCGGCTCACGCCAAAGGAGAGGCCCTGCTCAAGGGTAATGTCTGTATGAATCTTGTAAGCGTCCAAGATCGATAAGGTATCATTCGACACCCACGGCATGTCTGGCACGAACAGCTCTGAGGGTCTTCGCAACTGTCCTTCAAGATCTGGTATCCAAAGAAGTTCTGGAGAGATCGACTGGCCATTACCAGCTGATTCACGGCTGTATTCATATAGCAACTGCAAAACATCGGCGCTGATAGATTTCATTCTCTGAAAATCAGAGACCACAGCCATGCCCAACAGACACGCCAAACCTGTGGACGGAGTGTCTGGCCGAGACTGCGCGTCATGAGCTAACTCGAGAATCTCCAACAACTTGTCTTTGCTGAGTCTTCTGCTGATGCCGGAGAAAATTGCGTACTTCTCCCAATCTGGACAAAGCCGGTATACGAATGGCTGCAACTTGTCCGCACGAGGATCTCTGGACACATTTTCGGGAACCATGAAACCACCAGGTGTCCAGACCCAGTTGGTTATACGTTGTGGCAGACGTGTCATTCGCTTGTACACAGGCTGAACGTCCTTTGACAAAACTTCTGTTTTGACCAAAGCCTCGAGCTGTTGTTCGAGCACCTCGTCCGTGATGTCGTCGGCTGTGCGAACGCCGAGAGAGCGTAGGGTACCCATGTCCCCGCAGACAAGTTCTTTGACTTTGCCGACCCAATCGCACGCAGACTCATGCCAAACGTCGTCGCAAGGCGCAACGAACTTTCCACTCCTTGCCTGGAGCCATGTTTCACTGTGAAGAGAAGGTTGCTCACACAAGGAAGGCAAATCATGAAGTCGCGCCAACAACTTTACTCCAAGGTCTTTATCACGCCGAGAGACAACAGCCGTCACCACCTCGACTGCATCTGTAGGGTCCATTTCCTGACGGCATCCTATCTCCACCAGCCGCTTTCTGAATTCAAGTAAAGTGTCTGATATTCGCCTGGATATGGGAAACCCGACCTCGCAGTCTGGTAAGATACAATCGTGGGGTGCGCACAGAACTCCACCCTCTGTTAGTAGTACGCATCTGCCGCGCAGCGTCTCCCCAAAATTACCACGAAGGACCTCTGCGACGAGTTCCTGAGACTGTGTTAGCTCAAACGCTTTGTCCAATATGGTTGTATGCTCGAGCTCGTGCAGGTCCATTCTTCCCAGCAGATTAAGGATAGGGAGCTCGCTCTCATCCAGGATTTGCAAGTCTACTTTCTTCAGCTGCTGCTTCAAAGCGCCACATGACAAAAACCTCGGGAATACGTGCGAATCTGCAACACCATAAGAATCATCCCACTGCCGGAACGCAGGGATACGGCGCGCTGCCTCTGGCGCCTCCTTTGCGACAGCATGTGAGATAGTCTCCAGAACCGCCCGTGCGGAATGAGGATCGCAACGCAAAAGAACAGCTGATCCATACTGTTCTATCAACCGGCCCGAATGTACGTAGAGCTCTTGAATGCCAGTTGCAACTTGGCTTCTGCCTTCGACGACGTCTTCCAACAAGATACGACTGTGGAAGTACACCACTCTAGCGTCTAGCCTGTCCACGCTGTCGCGCTCGAGCGTAAACCCCATACAATTATCGAGACCCTGCGCTCGCTTCATTGCCTCCTGGATTGTGATCCCATTTGCTTGGCTAATGTCGTCTCCCATGTGGTACGTTTGCTGGAAGCATCTCCACGGCTCCTCATGGACGTCCATACCGTCCGCCTTGACAATTGCCTTGGAAAACCACTGGCCCCTGCTTCTTGGGGGTAGAAGGCATGTCAAATGTTTGGCTGCCTGACTCCCCTGGTTCTCCCTTCCCCAGGGTTGGAAAAACCCGTTTGAGGTAGCGGGGCTGGAGATATGACCACGGGGGGAACGAGCTCACAAACGCACATGCAGGGACTAATGGCCTTTCCAAAGTGGGTCACGGCCCCCAACAGGTTCCCATGAAATTCACTGAGATAGCTACAACACGGTGCGGATACCCAAAGTTGGCTGCAGTGCGGCCCGAACGAGCCTCAAAATTGTTCCAAAATCCAGCCGGTTGGGCACAAGAGGCTCGAAGATCGCTTTGCGGATGGCCTGGAAAAGACCTGAATCACGACAATCGCGTCAGAAGTGGTATGTGTTTGGCATGTCCCACTGGTCGAGCATAAACTGGCTCAAGATGGTCTCCACGGGTGCCCGGGAAGGTTCCGCAGGCCCTTCGGAGGCCCCAAGACGGTCCGAGATGCCCACGGGATGTCCCGAAGATGGCTCCGCAAGCCCGCAAATGGCCCGCAAGACAGACAGCACCGGGGCGGCCCAAGGCCGAGTCCCCCCAGGCACAAGGACACCGAGCTGGCCCCAAGAGGCCCCAAGAGGAACCCAAGAGAGCCAAAGATGACCCCCAAGAATGCCCCGAGAGACCCCCAAGAGCACCCCAAGATGGGCTCAGGTGCTCGCCGGGATACGTGTCGAGGCCGTGGCATTCAGCACTTCGCGGCAGGAATATCCACGGAGGCCCATCAGGGCTTCCGCCCTGGGGGCCCATTATGTGTTTCCCCAACTAGTTGCCGGCACTAAGTTGGAAAGATCACAAGACAACTCGCCGCTTGGGCCCCACCGCCAACCCAAACGGCGAGCATAAACCGGGCGCAGCCCCGCACGCATTCGAATGCCCACACTTCGTCCTCGTACTACTCGTATTCCTCCCCGTCCTCCTCCTCATCCTGATCGTCGTCGTCCTCCTCCTCCTCGTCCCCTTCCTCATCCTCCTCGTCTTCCTCGTTCCTCCTCCTCCTCCAGCTCCTGCTCGTCGCCCTCGTCTAAGACCGCGCCATAGGTTGCGCCCTCGGCATCGTAGAAACGACGATTGATGTAAAACTCGCCTAATCCCAGTGTGACGATGTGCATCCGAACCTGAGATCGATAGTATGCGTTCGGCAGAGCGGCCGATGGCGGACATGCCGAAGGCAATGGAATGCGAGGGAGGGTGAGGAGGGAAAGGACGAAAAAGGGCGCGGGATGGGGTCGAGAGTTCCTGGAGGACGGGGCGGGGGGGCCCATCCGAGGGAACGGTGCACCCCCCCTCCCCCAGCGGCGACGAGGTACAAGCTGTTTGGGAAAAGAAGACCCTACCCCCCCTATCCCCCCCCCCCTGCGGCCTGAGCGGACCACCCAGGCCAGCGGAGGGCCTCACAGGGGGCAGGGGGCCCTTGCGTCGATGAGAGAAGGGAGGAGTAGAGGGCGGAGGGAGGATAGGGCAGACGAAAACCCTTTCAGGCTTTGCCCGGAGTGTGAGATTGCCATTCTGGCGCGCATTGCGGGGGAACCCGCGCGTCATGCGAAAGCGACTGGGCGCTCCTGCTCTCTCGCGCGCGTGCACGCGCAGAGCAGGCGCATGCAAGGCGCCGCGGACGTAGCGTTCAGAGATTGAGCTCGCGCCCCAAAAAAGAATCGCAGTTGTTGCGGGATCGCCGCCGCAATATTTTCAAGCGGCTGCAAACGCGGGAACGTCCGTGGCGAAGTAAACGCAAGTCGCGCTCGAAGCGGGAAGCCCCGAGCCTGTCGAAACGCAGCGAGGCGCAGGGTGCCAGGCTGACCGGATGCTGCACGGGAGTGGGTCGCGTGGCGAAGCGGAAAGTCGACATCCTGACGCTGCAGGACTGCGAAATGAAGCGCGCGCGCTCGAGGTCTGTCGACGCGACGTGGACGCGAGAACAAGGCGGAGCGCGGAAATTTTGTCCTGGGGCCGAATTTGCTTCTCACAAGATGAATTGACTGAAGTGAGCTGGACTGAACAGACTGGTCGCGCCCGTTACGCGACGGTTTTATTCTGGGCCGCCGAGGGCGCAACCTATGGCGCAACCGGTGAGAGATGGTTTTATTCTCGGCCGCCGAGGGCGCAACCTATGGCGCAAGGGATAGAAGACGTTTTCATCCTCGGCCGCCGAAGGCGCAACCTATGGCGCAACCGATCGGAGGCGGTTTTATTCTCTGCCGCCGAGGGCGCAACCGTTGAGCGACGGTTATATTATCTGCCGCCGACCCCAGAGAAAAACCATGAGGGTCGTGCAACGCACCGCGCATGCAAAGCATCCGCGACTATCGGTTGAGCCATAGGTTGCGTCCTCGACGGCCGAGAATAGAACCGTCGCTCATCGGTTGCGCCATAGGTTGCGCCTTCGGCGGCCGAGGATGAAAACGTCTTCTATCCCTTGCGCCATAGGTTGCGCCCTCGGCGGCCGAGAATAAAACCATCTCTCACCGGTTGCGCCATAGGTTGCGCCCTCGGCGGCCCAGAATAAAACCGTCGCGTAACGGGCGCGACCAGTCTGTTCAGTCCAGCTCACTTCAGTCAATTCATCTTGTGAGAAGCAAATTCGGCCCCAGGACAAAATTTCCGCGCTCCGCCTTGTTCTCGCGTCCACGTCGCGTCGACAGACCTCGAGCGCGCGCGCTTCATTTCGCAGTCCTGCAGCGTCAGGATGTCGACTTTCCGCTTCGCCACGCGACCCACTCCCGTGCAGCATCCGGTCAGCCTGGCACCCTGCGCCTCGCTGCGTTTCGACAGGCTCGGGGCTTCCCGCTTCGAGCGCGACTTGCGTTTACTTCGCCACGGACGTTCCCGCGTTTGCAGCCGCTTGAAAATATTGCGGCGGCGATCCCGCAACAACTGCGATTCTTTTTTGGGGCGCGAGCTCAATCTCTGAACGCTACGTCCGCGGCGCCTTGCATGCGCCTGCTCTGCGCGTGCACGCGCGCGAGAGAGCAGGAGCGCCCAGTCGCTTTCGCATGACGCGCGGGTTCCCCCGCAATGCGCGCCAGAATGGCAATCTCACACTCCGGGCAAAGCCTGAAAGGGTTTTCGTCTGCCCTATCCTCCCTCCGCCCTCTACTCCTCCCTTCTCTCATCGACGCAAGGGCCCCCTGCCCCCTGTGAGGCCCTCCGCTGGCCTGGGTGGTCCGCTCAGGCCGCAGGGGGGGGGGGATAGGGGGGGTAGGGTCTTCTTTTCCCAAACAGCTTGTACCTCGTCGCCGCTGGGGGAGGGGGGGTGCACCGTTCCCTCGGATGGGCCCCCCCGCCCCGTCCTCCAGGAACTCTCGACCCCATCCCGCGCCCTTTTTCGTCCTTTCCCTCCTCACCCTCCCTCGCATTCCATTGCCTTCGGCATGTCCGCCATCGGCCGCTCTGCCGAACGCATACTATCGATC